GATCAATTGTTCCTGTTAGAAAAAAAACTTTTTATAAATATCCAGAAACTCGATTCTCCAACTAGTTCATCTTCAGTCTATAATTGCACTTTAAAAAAAAAATAAAACAGAAGAAAATGTCAGAAAAAAATTGAAACAAGTTGATACCAACGTGAGTTACGTGCTGTCCATACAAAATAATTTATTTTTAAATAAATAATTATTGTTGTGTTATTATTGTTATTATTATTATTATAAAAGCAACTTATGAGCCGTGAGGTAATTGTTAGTTTAAGTAATTTAATGCATGACATTTTTAAAAAAAATCTTCATTTGAACACAACAGGTACTTTAAGCAGATTAACATCAAAGGTCAATTAGTTTCACTCTTAATTACGGTTCATTACATAGAACTGTATCGTCGTCATGTTCATCTAACTTTAGCATAATGCTAATTTTTTTTATCTCAGTTTAAACAGCTTGACTAACCTTTTCATATCTCTGACTCGTTGTTAGCTTAGCTTTTTTTTTTTTTTCTGTCAAAGCAGTCCGATGGTCTGATGGGTTTCAGTCAACATTCTCTGCATGTTTAAAAACTGTTTGATTTGTAGCAGATGCTTTTGCTGGAACTACTTTCATATATTCATATATATTTGGGGTCCGTAGAAAGACACCGGAGTAATGTCGTAAAATAAAAACACTGAACCTCAGCACCCTGTTTCAGTTCCTGCATCAGCTGTCAGACATGGCCACTCAGGGGGGAAGTGTATCCTGTAATCCTGCTGCTCCGTGCTTGGGTAGTCAGTGGTGTGCTGACCACATACTCTGCTCCATTTCCTGTTTTCCCCTGTGTCTGTGTCAGCACCGGGGCTAATAGTACCCAGGGTACTACACCTTCCACTCATGCATGTCTTTCAGGTTTTAATCCACACAGATGTAGAGCGTTACTTCTTCAACTCATTAGTGCCTTCATGTAAAATGGGCTTTACTGACACCATAGTTATCCAATTACTTTAATTAAAAAAAATACATATATATCAACGGTAATTGCGCGAGGTCAAGCAGCGCCCCCCGTCTGTGACGCCCAGGACGCACGTGTACTTGAGAAGATGAATTAAAGTTCGCAAAATTGAGAGTGTTTTTACTAGTGCAGTTCAACTCTCGGGCCAATTTCCAGTTCACGGCCCCTCGAGTGCCGTCCGTCATCGTCCGACGACGAGATTGGACTGTAAAGAGATGCAGTGGAGAGTGGCTCTCCAGAGAGGACGTGATTTGGAGGACGGCGATAGTGGACCTTAAAACGTAGTGAAGAAATATATAGAGAGAAATATATAGATACATATATAAGTATATAGATATATATTATATACGTATGTGTGCATATATATAATATATACATACATATACATGTTTATATGTTTGTATATGTGTTCATATATAAATATATATATTTATATGTGTGTGCATATATATAATATATACATACATATATGTTTTTATGGTTGTGTATATGTGTTTATATATATACATATATTTATATACGTATGTATGCATATATATAATATATACATACATATAGGTTTGTGTTTGTATGTGTTCATATATAAATGTATATATTTATATATGTGTATGCATATATGTATAATATATATTTACATATATTTATATATGTATGTATGCATACATATATAATATATACGTGCATATATATCTTTATATGTTTGTATGTGTTCATATATATAAATATATGTAAGTACACATACATACTGTATATACACATATATGTGTATATATTTCACTTGCCTATGTTTTATCAGAATCTGTTGCCATCCAACATTTTTTGAACCCCTCTGAAGTGCTCTTGTTTTTATGAACACAGAGGTCAGAGGTCAGCTGAGCGTTTATCAGATACACACACAAACCCACACTCTTAGTCACCTTTGTTCTCCTGGAGTCCAGTGTTCAACCTGTCCTGAATGTAACGTTCCTGTTTCCCGTCCTTTTATTGACTGTAAACATGATTTACTAACTGACAAAGTACGACTTCAAAAAAACCAAAAACCGACCAAACGTAGC